CACCCACTCGGGGCTGTCCCAGCGAGGCCGAGCCCCGTGCTCGCTTCGCTTTTGCACTCCCGAAGGCCGGTGCATCCCGACGGCACGGAGCAGCCCCGGCCCCGCTCCGTAGGGTCACTCCAAGTCACCGCCTCCCCACGTCGAGGAACAGCGATTTGAGGGAGAATTGCGGCTCTGGGGAATGTTTTTGCCCTCCGTCCGGGGGGAGGGGGTTGGGGGGTTGGAGTTGTCAGCCCTGGGCTGGCCTTGGGGTCAGAGAAACCCGTGGAAAGCGGCCGCTCTGGGAGAGGCGATCCCCGCTTTCCCCTTCTGCTGTCGTCTTTCTGTCCTTCCCGTGGAAGCGGGGACACTCCCGCACCTCGCAGATGGGAACGGAGGGAAATGATCCGCTCCGAGCTCCGCCGCCCCGTTAGTTTTCTTTCGGCCGCGACTTTCGCCGAGAAACCCAAAAACACTGAGAGCAGCACACCATCAGTTGAACAAGAACTTCAGCGTTTGGAGGAACTCTCAAAATTCAGCCCAACCTCCACCCGCCGCCGAAACCGGACCCGTTCGTAGAGGTAAACCATTTAACCGGGAAAAGAAATACAAAACAAAACCAACCAACCGAACAAACAAAAAATACCCCACGACAAAATGTAAATGAGTCACACGCCAAAAAAAAAAAAGAAAAGTATATACATACATATATATATATATGTATATATATATAATAAGGAGTGCCCTGCTGGGGCCGAGGGGGGAAACTTTGGGGATAACGCTGCTGAATGCAGAGTCGGGGAGTGCAGGAGGGCGATGTGGGAGATCGGTCCGACAGAGTGAGGCGGCTTATGGGGTTATGATCGTAATACGGAAAGGGGGAAAAATGCAAGAAAAAAAGCAAGAAAAAGGGGAAAAAAAAAAAAAAAAAAAAACCCAACAAGAAAAACAAAAGGAGAGATGTAAGCTAAAAAGGACACGGTTATTGCTGCCCCGGCTTGCAATACGCAGCTCCGGGAGCGCCGCTGAAGTGCTCGGTGGCTGTGGGGTCCTTCGAGGAGGAGGTGCCCGTTTTAAACTCAACGCGGGGCACGAAAAGAAAGGAGTGACGATAACGAAAACAGTTCCTGATTGATGTGTTCCGATCCCGTTTTCAAACACACTCATCTGTTTCAAAACGGGTCGGGAGCACAAAGTAAGTACCGTTATATACTTCTGCCGTGATTTGAGGGGAAGCTCTTCTCCTTCTGGGGATATTTCTGCCTCAGGTGAATTAGTACTGAGGAGTTGGTTGTTTTTTTTTTTTCTTTTGTTCTTTTTTTTTTTTTTTTCCCCAAGACTTAAACAAACAAACAAACTACAACAACAACAACAAAAAGTGTTAAAAGGAGAAAATCACCGGCGCCCCCGAACCAGTTGGCTCCGAGCGGCAATGCAGAGCAGCAGTGCGCCGAGCGGCTGAGGGCCAAGCCTGGCGCTCCCCGAGAGGAGCCCTGGAGGTGGGGGGGAGGGAGAGATGCTCACGCAGGAGAAGCTCCGGACGTAGGGTGCTGAGCGCCTGCTTGTCGCATTTTCACATTTAAAGCCAGCACGGCCGTGAGACCCAGCGCCCCCAGGAGTGCCCGGGGTTGTGCCGTTCTGTAACCGCCGCTCCCCAGTGCGGGTGTATGCACGCCGCCGCTCGCCCGCACAAATCCCATAAACGCTAATAAAACAGATTCCTCCGGATTTGTTTAACTTTCCCTGGCACCGCGCGGCCCTATATTGGTATTCAATGGGGTTACCCGTGTGCATGAGGATTACTGGTTAAGCGTGGACACGGGATCAACCTTCTAGAATGCCACTCGAACATGTCCCTACAAATGAGTAAGGTGGGAGACGTAAGCACTGACAATACGATTAATTTGCACCGAAGACTTGAAAGGAAAAAGGAAGTTAAATCACGGTACTCGAGTTATTAAGCTAGGCAGAACTGAGGCCTCTGGTTGCAGGGGATCGTTTTCAGCTCTTTACTCGGAGCTGTGTTACTGCTATTGTCCAACCTTTGCTGGCCACATGGGACCCCACTTGGAAATCGGTCAGAAAATTATTTCTACTGGACAAGAACTGGAAATATCCAGCTGGGGCAGGGATCCATTTCCAGGCAGAGAGTGGGGAAGGAAACTCGGTCCTCCTTCTCCTTACACAGACAGTGCTGTTAGAAGTTGTCCAAAGCAACTCAAGCTACTATCCAGAAAGTATCTGCTGCTCACAAATGAAAAAAGATGGGATTCCATCCCCCACCCCCTCCGACCCCCTCTGGCCCCCATGGATTAGTAAATTTGTTATTTATTTATTCTGTACAGAATGTAGAAAAGGGTACATGGTGCCTGCATTGCACGGCGCCTGTGCATAACGCACAGTGACAACATGGGCACAAGGCACTGCTGGAGCTGATGGACCGATCCAAGTAGATGACATTTGGAAAAAATACGCCCAGCTTAAAAGCACAGAATGCTCATGTTTGGGTCAGGCTCTCCATTTCAGTATTCTAAGGAGAACAAAGTTATTTTGCTGAGGCCAACTTTCTTTTTTTTTCTTTTCCTTTCTTTCTTTCTTTCTTTTTTTTTTTTTTTTCCAACTGGAAAATTTGATGATTTTTCTGAAAGTGGTTTCTTACAGTCAGATAATTGATATTAATTATGAATCCCAAACATCCATGACCGAAGGTTTGTTTTTCCTAATGTAAGCTGCAAACCATATTTCTTTCAGTTAGTTTTGAAGGTGAAAGCCGTCCTTGGGAACAGGAGAGGGAATATATCAATCACAGAAAGGAAGCCTCTAGGTTGAAAAATTAGGAAAAACCTTGTATGAAAAGCACACACAAAGAGGAGTGTTTTTGCTCTGTTTGTCTGAAGTCCTTTGAACATGATGAAAGTCAATGTGAGTATTTCAATGTAATTTTTTTAAAGTTATGCTCAGCGGTTTCGAGTAGTTATCTCAATGGTCCTTGGCTTTTATGAATAGTGTGACTAATCTAGTGGAGATGAGTAATGGATCTACGAGGAATAGAGGAATTCTGATGCAAAAACATCTCTCTTTTCTGTTGGTGTTTTATGCTGCTTGACATTCAATATATTATATAATGGCTGTCAGAAGAACTTTGGTAATGCTTTATGGTAATGTTTATAAATACTTTAGTCGTGATTTAGAAACGATGAATGGAAAATGCTATTTATAGATAATTATGTGATGTTTTACTATGTTGTAAGCACATTCATACACATATGTATGTGCTCATGTTAATTGCCGTGCTTTCTTTGTCGTAGCACACTGATTCAATATTTTTGCATTTGTCTACAGTACACTTAGCAACACAGCTACCAGATTATCTTTAAATAGGTATTTTACCATGTATGGACAAAGAAATTGAAGTCAGGATTGATCTACACACGTGGGACTGGGAGGTTACTGCAAGGAAGAGGGTACAGAGAGGGGAAGGAAAGGTTCCCGTGTAGGCTGTTTTTGTGAAATGAAGACCTCAGCCCTGTAAATGAACATGTATCAGTGAACTCTGTAAGCCACTGGCTTAACACGGCTTAAAACCCAGCAGTGCAGCCCCAGCAAGGCATGACAAGGCACCAGCATGTCTCTAGGGTGGATCTGTCTCCTCGTTAGCATGGTCGAGCTGATTGGGAAGATCTGGCATGGGGATGGGAAGAGGGAGGATTCACACCTCTTTGAGGGCTGATGTGGTGATCTCATGGTCATGATCTTGTTTGGATCAAAAGGCAGAGCAGAGAACAGGCTCATGCCCTGATCTGTGCTAGAAGTGGCTTGCAAGTCCCTCAGCTTTCATCCTTCCACAGCAAGGATTTGTGAGTAAATAAGTAAAAGGTAGTATAACAAACCTATGTGAACTGGCTTCACCAAATGCAGAATGCAAGATTTCTGTTCTGATCCTGACTGATACTCATGTCGTCCCAGTTTAAAAGAAGGTAGCTGCTTAGTTCGGGTCACCATGAGTTTTCCCACCAGCAGTGAGACTGAAAAGTCACATTGTATGGGCAGTGATAACCACAATTACATTTGACACTGAAACATTGAAATTATCCCATATGGGCACACAAAACATCTTGGTAACTTGCTCCCCGGGAAAGTCCCATCAGCATGCTTTGTGTCTGAACAGCAAGGACCAGGTCAGCACATACACCTGAAAGTATAGCTGCTTTCAGTGTGGGTCTTACTACTACTTCTCGCTAGTGTTTCCAGCTCTGGATATAACTTCGCACGTCTTTTTAACTTCGTTAGAATTTGTACCAACAAGGTTTCCATGCTTATACTGTGGGAATAGCGAATTAATTCATCCTTAATTGAACAAAGGCACACTAAGTTCAATCTCTGCTAACATCAGAAAGATACTCAGAAGATACTGCCCTCTAAAATGATCTGTCTGACCTTTAGACATTGATCCTGAAATTTGATCTCTGAGACCCACCAATACCAAAGAATTAGACGCTTCAGTCTCTGGATGCCATTTGGATGTGCTCTCAGTTTCGGAGTTCAGGGCCAGGTCCAGAAAGGGACTCAGGGAGAATGCAGATACTGAAGGCTAAAATGGGAGTGCTGAACATTTCCATTCAGTTGCTGACTAATTCTGGATGTATCCAAAGCTTATCTGTTCATCATTTTGTTCCTTAATGCAGGTACATAATTCAGACCTAGGATGTGAGTTTTCTCCCTGATTTGGTCCCAACACAATCAGTGAATACGCTCTGCTCCACAATCAACAGAAGTTGTCTTTGATTTATATATGCATATAAGTCACATTTGATGATGAGGACCTGGACTCAATTTCCTCCATTGTCCAAAGGGATGCAATGCAGACCCCTGGTCTTTGAAAAGTGTGTTCTATACATTGTCCACTAGACTGCATGTGATGTACCTTCATACTATATTTACTTTATTAAGTATAGAATAAGGGAAAAAAGCAATCCTCTGTTCCAACAGTCAAGTGCATTGCTGGTAAGGGATATATCTGGAGTTCGCTGTCTTTTCCAAGATTTTGTTTGTTTGTTTGTTACAAATATGTTACTTCCAGTGTACACAAATGCATTGAAAGCCTTTGGAGCAAGATGAGGAACATGGTTCCCTTCCCCCAGCCTTACCAAGAAGGCTTGGGTCATATTATTCAATGGTTGGACTAGATGATCTTAGTGGTCTTTCTAACCTTAATGATACTTAATGATGATGGTGACTTTCTCTGTCTTTCAGTTTTTCTAGGCACAGTAGCCTGATGGGAACAGGAGGGACTGAGAGCCTTAGCCTGGTTTATAATATGCTGTTGTGGGCTCAGTGTTGAAAAGATGGAGATAAAACTTTGAACTTTCTCAAAGGCCAGTGATCTTTCCTCTCATTTGCCAAGTGCAGGATCACTGTGTGGTATGGCAGAGAGATGAGAAGAGCTGTTGTTCTGCCTCTAGTCTTACCATCTAAACAGCGTTCGCTTTTTCTTTTTTCACTTAAAAGCCAAAACCTAAGCAAGAAAACAAAAATTGAAAAATGTAGAATAGTCATGTCAGGGAAACTCATGATGAGTCTGAGGTTGGAAGAAGATGATAAGAACCAACCCACTTCCTTATCATCTTCTCAGTGAGTAGCTCAGGTGTTTCAGTGTTCAGCTCTGTTATGCACTCTGTTTGGAAGAGCTCAATTCAACAGCAATTTAGGCAGCTGAGTAGGTTTGGAAATTAGCACTAGGACTACATTATTTAAGAGAAATTACAACATTTATTTTTATGTCTCCAAAGTAATTCTGGGAAATATTTTCCTATTAAAAAAAAGCCAACAAAACAAAACCAACACAAATCTGTCTTCAGGCTATATGCATATATATGCATGATATGTGAATGTTCCACTGTTTTCTGGTGGTATGTATGAGGAGTTTCAGACCGTTCCTTAGAACATTTGTTCTTATACAAGCAACTCCTTACAACAAATCACAGCTTAGCAAGATCCTTGAGCAGTGGCTTACATCTCTCAGATGGTGGACAGCATACTGCAATGGAAAGAAACACCCTCATCCCTCCTTGCCCTCAGTAGTTGTATAGAATTTTTATGCATGTCACAAGTGCAATGTATTTTGGCTCTGAGAAAAGAAGAAAACAAATGATTCCCTCCATCTGTTGAAAACTGTACATACTGTAATCTCCAAACACTTCTTTTATCACCTGGATGGTTTCGGAAAACCATTTATCTGTTCTTCTGCTATCCAGTATGTTAGTCAAATTCTGAATATGTTTTTCTGCGATTTCCTTCCTTTTCTTTCCTTCCTTCTTTTTTTATTTTCTTCTTTTCTTTTTTTTACTTTTTTTTTTTTTTTTCTTTCTTTCTTCTTTTTTCACTTTTTTCTTTTTTCCCCAGCTTTCTCTTCTTCAGGACTTCTCCAGCACTGGGGACGTGCTATTAGCATATCTTGGGAAACCCCATTGCAGGGGGAATTTGTAGACAACTGTTTACCCTGAATAGATTGCAAGTATTGGACAGTGCAAATATTCACAGTGGTACTGGTAACACCAATATCCCTAACCCTCTGAACATGTACAGTATGGACTGGATAGTTCAAAAAACTAGAGAGGCTCTTAGATCAAGCTGAGTGCTTGTGCAATTAATTCAAGATAAACATTCTCCCAACTGCCTATGCAGTGCTTTAATGACCATTAGAGGCCCCCTGCTGAGGAGGTCTGTGCCTTAATTCCACAACCATATGAGATTTCATGCAGGTCAGTAGAACAGGCTTTAAGCTGAGACAGATAAAGCCAAGCGGGAGGAAATGGGAGAACACAGAGAATATTATTTATCATAAATGCCTGAGAGAATTGGCTGGAGACCTGAAATGAATTTAGGGGCAGATAAAACTGACAGATAAATCTTAGACAAATCTAGGATGAGAGAAGAGCGTGATTGGAGAAATAAAATAGATGTGGTGATGATAGGTGCTGGAAGAAGAGTGAAGCTCTGCAGAAGTTCAAGCTCATTTTCAGTAAGACGTTTTATCTTTGGGGATTACTCCAGCAGAAACTACAACTCCTCAGAGATTTGCCTCAACACCACTAAAAATGCATAGGTCTGATACTGCAAACAGGGTTCCCACGAAGAGGCTAAACTCCTCGTGAATCAACATCGTGGCCTTCAGCACTAACATGGCTTTCGGTCGGCGGGGGCTTTATCAGATGATGTCATGTTTGTAACTGATATCCCACTCCACAGTGCTAATGAGAACAGAAATGCCATGGAACTGAGCCGTGCCAGAGTGATCTTTGCTTCCCTATGAACTTTTGGTTAAACAGTTTAATGATTTCTTAAATTCAGTGCCTAGGACACATAACTTGTCCCAGGAGTTTGATGTTTACTATTTAGTTAAATCAGACCTGCTGCTTAATTATTAAAGAAGAGAACTTCAGTCCTCCCACCTCTGTTCTGTTCAACCATTGATGTGCTTTCAGTTTTGATATGCTACCTATTATTTGTAAATGAAATAAAGCACTCAGATTCTTTGTGCATTCATATCTATATATGCGCATCCTTAAAGCAGGGATATCTGAGACCTTGAATTTAACAACAAAGCAAGTCAAGGAAGGAGTTTCAACCCTTAACTCCGAATTTCCTGGGGTTTTACAGATTAAATCAAATCCTTAAGGCCATTTTATCATAGTTTTTTCTGCGCAAGTGTGTGATTTATGTCCTCTTTTTATTGCGTGAACCTTTGTCTTTGTGCTATTTGATTCAGTCTACCAACAGCTGTCAGCTGATTTTATTTTAGTATCTGTAAATTTTTGCACACAAAGCTAGACAAATGCAACGCAGGGGCAAATTAAATAGTGCAATTTAATACAAAGACAAGTTGCTGGGAGAACAAGATTTTAACTGCTGATCTAAACCAGCTCTGCATGTAAACAATGGATCTTTGGTGTTTACTGTATACTATCTGTCTAAATACAAGGATTACTGTTTCCTCCTCTGTAGCAACTGGCTGGAGGTTCTCACTAGTAGCTGTTATTAGTAGCAATGACACATTAATTGAACTTCACTGCTTCCAGGTGTGTGGCACACTCCGGGGTCACCCAGTGCACTACAGTTTCATGTGTATTCAATTACTGTAGCGTTATGAAGGAATGCAACATGTCATACATTAAAATGTCAATTACCAGTTTTTATGGGATAGTGAGTAAAAGAAACCAATCAGTTCCCTGAGCATCGGTTTCTGTCTACTCCGCTGCTTTGAGCATCTCACCAAGCTTTACTCTCCACCTCACCTTTGTGACCAGGACAGAAAAAGAAATGCGTTAGGAAATTACCACTCACTGTTAGAAACTTAGATTACTTGTGTATAAATGGCTGGGTCATGCAGTGTTGTTATTAGTGGCACATCCTGTTATGAGCAAATCAGTAACGGTTCGCCTCAATGATTTGTTCTGAAGCACTTGAGGTCATGGGCACAAATTCTCATGCGTTTTCAAACATTTGACACTCTGCTCTCTGAGTGTGTGATAGCATCTTTGCTAGAGCAGATATGGTTGAGCTTCATAGGCGTTTCCTAGAATTTTTAGTGTAAATCTTCACCCTGTACATATCCAAGCCAATGTCTCTCTCTAAAGAAAAAAACACCTTTCTTCAGTAAAGAAAGGTTTCTTTCCCTCCATGCCTTTAAAATTATGTTTTTGGGAAATTATATAAAATTTAGTCTTTCTGGGTGCAAGAAGGAACCTTTGGAAAAAAAAAATTAGCTACAGGAGATGGAATAAAAATGTTCTTGCAGTATTTTTCCTGGGGAATATTTTCATATTTCCCCAAGTTTAGGTATATTCCATGAAATTTCAATACACATAGTCTTTTCTGGTAAAACACATTCAAGATCCTTTTGAAAAATTACCTTTTTTGGGGGAAGTTGAGTTTAAGGACTGAATGACTACCAAGTTGTTAGGGCTGTGCCATGGTCGGCTGAATATTCATCAGCATTTTTTTGTATCACTGTTTGTGCAGCAAGTTGATGCTTAAGCCTTACATTACTCAGATTTGAGTCACAAGTACTAGGCTAAATGAATTAAAAAATGAAGGTAGAGATTTATTTTAGAATGTAGACTGTGTATCTTTTTAGTCTATGTCTGTAGGTCTTTTTGTCCTTGGAATAGGAAGGAGTAGAAAATTCTGCAGTGGTGGTAAAGATGCTAGGCCTAAGTCCTGCATCAACAACATACTGGAGAGACATTTTAACCGTTCTTAATCTAACAGCTATTGCAGACTATGAATTGAAAGAACAAATCTCTTACATGGAAGCCTGGGAACAGGGGAAAATAATGTGGTTTAAAATAGTTATGCATGATACGGTTTGTACACCATTAAATTTCAATTGAGTATGTTTCCTACAACTACAAGAAACATTACTTGTGGTTTTGAAAATCATTATTGAGAAGAAAAGAATCCAACTGGCATCACAAACATTCAGTAGGCCCAAGGCTAGGAAGAGTATATCCAAATGCCTTAGTTTCCCTATTTCTTCACTGTAAACGCACTGTGAGAAAGTATTATGCCAAGGAGGTTCTTGTTTGCCATATAGAAGGCATGTGACATCCATCTGCATGATGTAGAGTTGAGCCTAGGAATAAAATCTTATTTATTTATTTATTTGTTTGTTTGTTTGTTTGTTTGCTTATTTTTTAAACCAAGGAATGTGATAAGTATCCCACAACTTGGGGCTGCTACAGGAAAAAAATCCCATAACTTGATGATGTTAATATTAACTTCAGGATATAGAGACATAACATCCTGATTCTAAACCCCCCATCTTTTCTCCAGGTCTTCAAATTCAGTTCCATTCCCACTGAAGAACGCACACAAGCCACTTGGGTGGCAACCTGTAGTCTGGATTCTGCCAGAGGTGTAAAAGAATAATTGGATACTCATTTCTGATCTTAAAATCTCCAAAATTGTCCCAAGCATGGTGACTGCAAAGTCTACAAAACACTAATCGCATACTGTAACCTGTTGCCTATTGAGATAAAGTGTATAGGAGTGAAACAAACACATTCTGTCAGTTCTAAGCCAAAAAATTTTTAAAAGATTCAAAATTACATTAGTTACAGGAGATGAAATAAAAAAATACATTGACCATATCCAAAGAATGAATGAATTTAATTTAATGAATTCTTCAAAAGAATGCAGATGCCTGAAGAATTGTGCATTTTTTTTTTTCTGCATGTCATTACTTTAAAAATGGTATAAATGGCTCTTTCTGATCTGTGTTCATGAAAAAAAAAAAAAAACCAACCATCAAATTCCAGATCACAGACAGCCTTTAAAAATGAATGTGCAAACTAAGAATGTGACCATGTCTTATTTATAAATACGTGCTATAAGAAAAAAAACAGAATGTACACTTTATTTTTAAATTCAGAACACAAGGGGATACTGTTTTAAGTAAGCATTCAAAGTAACTCCCTTAAAGAATTAACTACTGAAATGAAGAATAATGCAGATAACTTCAGTAGCACCACTGAAAGGGAAGCAGCTCCAAAGCAGCCTTTGTCTTTGCAGAGTTGTGGTGAATTCTTTGATGAAGTTGTTTATTACTGGCACAGATGGATGATATGACACTTCACCTTGCCCAGGAAGGTAACAGGAGGTAGATAAACCTCTCTGGAATACATCAATGCCCTTCTACTTTTGGCATTCAAATTGAACAGGTAAGTTTGGAGTATGGATACTCAATGTGATTGGTCAAGAGAGCTCTGCTTGATTCCTCAGATCACCTACATGAAGGATTTTGCTGAAGTTTCTATCGTAGGTGCTTTAAAGCATACATCTCTCTGAGAATGAGACTCTCTCTCCTCTCCATGAAATTCTGCCACTTCATTTCACTCAATTTAGCAGAGGAGTTCTTCTGCTCCATTAAGTATCAGTTCTATCATTGTATTTTGGGAGAAGATCATCCATCCATTATGAATTGAGTAGAGGAAATTCGGACAAGAAATGGTAATCCATTTTGTATTCTGTTGACTGAGGCCTCGGTGCAGGCAAAATATGCCTAATTTTAAGAGGTCTCACTGACTACTGGGACTGAAGACATGATTAAAATTAAGCGCATGTTTCAGTCCCTTCCTGAATCAAAGTTTAAATGAGATCTGAAATGGTTACTTGACTTTACATCGTATTACCATTAGCAATTTCCTGGCGATTGTTTTTCTTCCCCCTCTGTGGTGACTTTTCCAAAATAGATCCCTCATCTGACTGTAAGGGTAAATGAAAATCAGGCCCATTAAATTTACTGTCTGTAAAACACTAATGCCTAACAAACAGTATCTTTACATTTAGATGGCATTTCTATCCTGAGGAATCTCAAATCACTCTATAAACCCTGACCTCAATCCTAAAGTCACTTGCATACGTGAGCAACTTTATATTGCATATCAAACAGGATTATGCATAAATGTAAAACTACTCATGTGCTGATGTGTTTGCATATTGAAGACCTTAGTGTATAAGTGTCACTCTGGACAAATGTCATTAAGACTGTAGTTTATGCCCAAACCTTTAACAGGATTAATAAGGATTCTGTCAGGTTTCATAAATGCACAGCATTTACCATATGCCAAGAAATGTTTCTTCTCTGCATTCTCACAGCCGTTGCCTTCGTCTTTTTAAAGGAATGCAAATAACTCCAGGATTTATTGGCAACAGTCACAGCAAAAGTGTTAATGAAAACTGGTACTGCACGTAACATAAACTAAGCATCACTTAGCATTTTTCACGTTATATTCTTGAATACTGCAAACGCCAGATTAAAATTCACTAAGCATGTGATGACATCTGGCTATTTTGCCAGATTTCATAGTGCTATTACATTGACTAATCCAATGAAAAGGTAAGTTGACCAAGTCCATAACAATATCACTCATAACTATAACTCCTATAAATTCTCCTTGACTGCAGATACTACTTAATAACCAGACAAGGCATTCTAACTTAGGAATAAGCTTCTTAGGATGCCCCAAATTATTATTATTATTTTACTTTTCACTGCTTTCATCACTCCCTCAGCAGTCACTCTTGTCCTTATAAACCACCTTATAGACCACCATTAATTTTAAGTAACAAGAACATGTTTAAAAGCATTTCCTGGATCAGAAGCTTGAGTCTTTTTTTACTGCAGGTGTTTCCATCACACAGCCTTTCCACAGGCTGACCAAGCTGCAGCTTAAATGTAGTCAGGTAACTTTTTAGCCAATTTACTTTCCCCCTGTCCTTTGCCAGTAAATACCTGACACCTTTCAGGTACAAGGTGACAGCT